TTCAAAATTTCATATATATATGTTACCTCTCTTATCCCAAGGTAAAAAAACTAAATTGAAACAAGACAGATTGTAAATGCTTTTACACTATTAGTAAAAACTCAACAAAAAAACACATTAATGACAATAAATTAACGATTTTTAGTTGCATTTAAAATAAATTTAAATTGATATTTTTCAAGTAAAAAAAATTATTAATAGACAACTAATTTGCATCTTTAAATCGTCTAAAACTCAAAATGAGAAATCAAGGACTTAAAAGTCGTTTAACAAGCGATTATTAGCTGCATTTTAAACGATTTACAATCTTTATAGCTTAAATAGAAATAACTTCATTTTAGACGACGGAAAGTCGCATAATAAGCGATTAAAAATGGTCTATTTCCTTAAAAACCCGGTTTACATAGCAGCTGATGGGTTAGGTTGAGTACTCATTCTCCTCCTCATTTTACATTTAGTTAGTTTACAAACTGCATGTTAGCCTGTTCATCTCTAATTGCGATAACTTTTGATATTCGAATGTTATAAAAAAAATAGAAGGTGTCCTTCAAAGGAATTCAGTCTTTGCCACAAACTCTGATGTTCTAATTCATATATCTTTACAGCCCAATATTGTAGACCTTAGAAATTTCAAACTATGAATTTTGTTAGATCAAATAATTTATGTTTGAAATATCAAAGGCTACAGTTTAGGTAACAGAGATATAAGGATTCAAAGATTCAAGTTTTTGGCAAAGACTTAATTTCTCAGAGGAAAATCAAGGTTTAAAGTTTAAAGGTTTTTTTCAATTTTGCAAATTATTTGTTAAACCAAAACTTTTCAAACAGTTTGCTAAATAGTTCAGATTAGAAAAACACATTTTCAAATCAAACATCAAATAAACATTCTGTCAAAAACTAGTGGATTAGACGATTGAGGAGTTCAGGATCAAGAGCAAAATAAGCGATTTTTTGTTGAAAATAGGCGATTTTTTGTTCAATATAAGCGATTTCACAAGCTATAGTTCCAGTCAAATATTCTGTTTCCATTCAGGGATTGCTTAATTTTGTTTTCTTATTTGTATGAACAGAGGTTTGGATAAAACATGCTATTTTTTAATCTGTTAATAACAAAGATGATTTTAAAAAAAAGCTTAGGATCTTGTCAGCTTTGAATAAATAGCAAATTTCAATTAAAATGCATAAATAAGACATCCTCTTTAAAAAAATAACCTAATATCAAATTTTAAGATTAACCAATCAATGGAAAGTCAGATCGAACACTTTTGAAACTGATTGATTGAAAAAAAGGAACAAGGGTTTCCAGCGAAAGCAAAGTTTCAAGCAAAAATGCTCAAATTTCCTAGCTTATTCCGACTTTTTGTGTAAGCAAGCGCAAACATTCCATTCCACTGAAAACCTCTTAACTAATCAAGGAAAATGGCCCTGTAATTTACCTAGGTGGAACAAAGAAAAATCAAGAGTGTGTTCAGATAGATGAGCATGCACATGTTAACTGATGCAATGAAGAATAGCTCTGGACTTTCTTTTTTCCAGCGGATTCTGCGTAGAATTGCCATTGTACCGACGCATCATACAGATTATTAACCATTTTAAAATTATCATAGCATCTAACATGTTGCATGATGAGTTGCTCACACAGATCATGTAGATATAGATGCAGGGTGGACGTGTCTGGGCGTTTGATCAAGATCAAGATCAAGATCAAGTCCAAGATCAAGAATCAAAATCAAGATTCAAAATCAAGATCAAGATCAAGATCAAGATCAAGAAAAAAACATAATGTTCTTAAATAACAAAAATATTAGCATTTCCATAATTTCTGTTCTAGCCACACCCCCTCCTGCAGTAATCTCCCAAAACTTTGTGGAAATATACAACAATCAAAAATTCTCGATTGATTGATTAACTTAAAATATACAGCTACATGCAGCTGTTAAGTAAATGAATATTTTGTCTTTAATATATTTATTGCAATATAAATTTCAAAAATTAATGTTGTGGAGATCTGTAGATATAGTCTTCCAGTCCTTAAGCTCAACTAAACAAACCAAATATATTTGATAGTACCTTAAACCCATGTTGTAACTTAGACTTGATTATATATCTCAGTTTGTTTATTTTGTTCCTTTATAAATTTTGGTGACCCCCATGTGTTATTTTTGTTTGATATAATTCCTCCTCGTTGAAATTGGTTTCTACCAAGTCCCTGCTCTTTTCATACTCAAATACCAAAGTAGGATTTCCGACGATCAAGATGTTCTGTTTCTTTTTTAGTGAAAGTAGATGATGTCCACCACAGATGAGGGTCCTTCACACCTTGATGGCCAGGTCTCCCTTACAATGTTCTCCATCAAGTTGCCCGCCTACTGGATGGATTCTACCAAAGTCTGGTTCCTTCAGGCCAAGTTCATGTTTTTGATCAAGCCTGTGACGACCTACCTGGCCAAGTTCCATCACTGCTTGCAGCCCTGCCCCAGGATGTTGTCACTTGCCTCATAGATTAGGTTCCAGAGTATCCGAGTTCTAACAGATCGGAGGCCATGGGAGCTCATGGATAAGATGTTACTTCTCCTCCCTCAAGACGAGAAACCAGGTTTCTTCTTCTGCCATCTCAATACTGAAACCTTTCTAACAGATATCCTTTGCCAAACATTGCAGAGTTCTCAGCTAGGTGTTTACTAAGTTAGATCTAACCAAGGGATATTATCAGGTTCCAATGTCTACTGGAGACATTCGTAAGACTGCAGTAATTACACATTTTGGCCTTTTTGAGTGGTTGAGGATGCCATGCGACCTCAGGAACAGTGGATGTACCTTCTAGAGGTAATGGATAAAATCTTCCAAGGACTTCCATACTGTTTTTTGGATGTGGATGACATCCTTATCTCTAGCTCTGACCTTGTTTCTCATCTTGAACATATGCAAAGCGTCTTTGATCTCCTCCAACTCCGTGGTCTCAGCATCCAACCTGACAAGTTTTAGGATATGGTTGTTTTCTCTAATTAAACACACAGAGATCGTCTCCGCCTTCCCCTGTTCCACAGACAAGAAAGGTCTACAGCATTTCCTAGGTATTCTTAATTTTTACAGAAGATTTCTCCAAGGTGTAGCCAGACTCCTTTATCCTCTAAACAAAGCTCTCAAAGGTAAACCTTCAGCTCTGACCTGGAACCTGGAGATAAACCAGTCCTTTGAAGCCACCAAATCCATCCTTGCAAATGTTCCAACACTTGTTCATCCTGATCCCTTTGCCCGGATATCTTTGTCCGTAGATGCCTCTGGTTATCATGTTGGACTAGTCTTGCAGCAAAAAGTATTTAACTCCTAGGCCCCTCTGGCATTTTATTCAAAGAAGTTTTCCGCCTCAGAGTCCAGATATTCCGTGCACTTTCGACCGTGAATTGTTATACAACAACAGAAGAATGTGCCAAGGTTTTACTCCTATCCTGAATCCAACCTTTGGAGTTCCATCTGTGATCACCTCTGATAATGGAGCACAGTTCACAAGCTCTATCTGGATTAATCTCTGTAGGTTCCTAGGAATCAAACACTCTCCATGGAAATATTTCCATCCACAGTCCAATGGCCTGGTGGAGAGGTTCCACTGTTGTCTCAAAGTGTCTCTGATAGCTTGATTGTCTGGACAAGATTTGTTCAATCATCTACCCCTGGTGTTACTTGGTCTCCAGAGTGTTCCCAGAGAGGATTCTGCTATCTCCGCCTCTGAAGCTCTCTTGGTTCTCTGCTGGTTTTGTCCGTAGAGTTTCTGGATTGCCCAAAGCTGCCCTCCTCATTGGGTATCTTAGGAAAATCCATCAATCCTTAAGAATAACACCACAGTTCGTCATTCTGCAGTTCCAGCCATGAATCAAACCAGATTCCTTCTATTTTAACCTCCTGCTCTTCAGTTTTCATCAGGGAAGATTCATATAAACCACTGCTTTCTCTGCTGTATGGAGGACCCTACCTAGTTTTCTTCTGGAATCTTAAGTATTTCCTCGTTCAAATAGGCTCCAAATCTGACTCCATTTCCGTGGACCGGCTTAAACCCGTTCTGATCAACCTGTAATCTTTTAACAACCTCTCCGACGTTGGCTCCGGCTCCCTTGACTCCATCTTTTTTTACTCTGGCTCCATTGACTCCAACCTTTCCAATACCTCTCCAGAGAGCCAAGAGGATGAAGAATCCAGTTCGATTCTCACCTCAGCAGTCTATTCCTCTCCTAGTTTGTCGGAACCCTCGAAGAGAAGTTCGAAATAAGCATTGAGTTCCCCATCCAGTTCATCACCTTGATGCTGTGGAGATATGTAGATATTGTCTTCCAGTTCGTAAGCTCAACTAACCAAACCAAATATATTTGATAGTACCTTAAACCCATGTTGTAACTTAGACTTTAATGTATATATCAGTTTGTTTATTTTGGTCCTTTATTCGTCGCTACAATGTCTTCATTAAATAGTTGACTGGAAAAAAACCTTTTTATTTGTAAATTGAATACTGATTAAGAAAACTGAGACACCTAATATCTAACAATATCTCTACAGGTTGAACGCCTGATCTAGGAATGTATGTATTTAACAATATCTCTATATAGGTTGGCAATGCATTTAACAGTATCTCTATATAGCTTGAACGCTTGATCTACGAATGTATGTATTTAACAATATCTCTATATAAGTTAGCAATGTATTTAACAATATCTCTTTATAGGTTAAATGCTTGATCTAAACGCTAAAAAGGAAGAAAATTCAAGATATTTTGATTTTGAAGAAACTTTAGGGGAAGAAAATTCTAACAAATTTGAATTCTTTTCCTTTTTGCAAGTTTGCGGTGTCGGAATTTTTTTTAACTGAAATGAATTTTTTCCCTCTTTCTGGGTTTCTTGAATAACAACTTTTTTTTAACTCTTTCGCTTTTTAATTCACTTTTTTATTTCTCGTTCCTGTTCAAATTTTCATTTCTTTCCTCCAAGTAAGAATACACACCCCTGGTAGGAGAAAAATCTAATTTTATTGCAACTTTGTAGATTTCTATCCAATATCTGTTACTAATAAAGTATGTATATTGTATAAATCATGTATATTGTTGGTTTATATATGTTTATACTAGATTTAATATTAAATAATAATAACGTAGATTTCATTGAAGAATATATCCAATGGTGCATCAGTGAGGATATTCATCTTTTTTTAAGGTTTATTGGTGAGAGACACATTATTGTGCTTGAGCAATTTGTGATTCTGCGATTTTGAAAGCTCCATCAATCAGTTGTGGGATGTGTGGAGCAATTTTGGTACCGGCTGAACAAATGAAATGTAAGTCTACAATTAAAATGATATAGTTTTTTCTAAAATTTTACCATTGATAAGTCCCGGAAGCATTTTGGGTACAACTAGAAAAAAAAAGTAAGTCTATTATTGAAATTATTATTTTGGTGTTCGGACATTTCATAGATGGACATTTCATAGAATTAGAGATATCTATTAAATATCTTTCTATAAAATGTCTTGACAGCATTATTTTTTTTTGTAAAATTTTACCGCCGATAATTCCAGGTAACAGGCCCAAGAAATAGTCATCTCCCTTAACTCCTTCTTTTCCTTGAGGGTTCAGATTTGGAGATATTTCTTCGTTATATTCCGGGGTTCGCACTGAAAACATTTAACGTCAACTGGGGGTTAATAAATTGGTGAAAGGCCAATGAACAACCTAATTACTGGTTCAACTACGTCTCAAGTGCACACTGGCTCAAATCCTGAATCACCAATTCAAGTTTAAGATTTTGAATAATCCTAATTTGAAGTCAGCTGATGAAGGCAAATTCTTTTATAATTCAAACCAATCATTGGCCTAAACAAAACTCAACTCTTAGTCACTATGGTTAGTTCAAAATATAAATATTTCAAGTTGAACCACCCATAAAGGATATCCGGTTGAACTCATTCTCAAATTAGTCCCTGAACAACTAAAACATTTTGAAGGAATTATCACAAACTTTGATTTTCTAATCTCTATATCTTTGCAATCTATTGTTGTAAACCTTAGATATTTCAAACTATGAATTCTGTTAGATTAAATAATCTAAGTTTAAAATACAGGTTTACACCATCAGATTACATAGATATAGGGATTAGAAAATTTGAGTTTGTGGGAAAGACTCCATTCCTTATTACCTTAGTTTTAGAAACACATAATAAATAATTCACTTAAAGGGACAGACCGGCTATGTAAGGTAGTTGAACTGAGTATGCAATGTTGTGGAAAGCTTCTTTAGGATTCATTTGAGACATATAAAACTTTCTAAATGACTGAAATGTTTGTGAATGGGTGGTGTTATAGGCTAAAACAAAATTTCAAAATTTTTTTTTTATTTTTTATTTTTTTCCACGGGTAATGCCAGGCCCTTCAGCTAGTATTACATATAACTGATAAGATACCTGTCTTTATTAAATATTTTCGTGGAGCAGAAAATCCAGATTCTATGAAGAGAACAAGTGAACATGCCAGCATCAAATACCTGAACAGATAGGCAGCATATTTTAAAAAAACTAAATCTTTCAGATCAAACGAAATTTTATCGTGAAAAAGGGTGTCATTCAGAAAAAAATGAACGATGAACGAAAGAAATGGATCGTTCAAGGAAATGAAAAAATTATTGTTTTTTAAAAACAAACGATTTAAAATCTTTCAAACAAACTTAAAAAATTATGGTTTCTTTACTGAACGAATAAATTTTTCAAAAGATTTGGAAAAAACGATAGTTTTTTAAATAAAAAAAACGATTTTTTAGAACAAACGATTATTTGGAACAAACTTTTTAAAAAAACGATAGTTTTTTTACTGAAAGAACTAATTTTTAACACATTTTACATGAACGATTTTATTGGACAAACGATTTTACTCAACGAATGAGTTTAGTGAAACAACAATTTTACTGAACAAAATACTTAACTGAAAAATGAACAAAATAGATGAAAAATAACGATTATTTTTAGAATGAATGAATTAATTTTTTCACCATTATTAGTTCTGTCTCGAGAAGTTAAAATAAAACTGTGTCAAAATGAAACAAAACAAATATTTTGTATTTGAATCAAATTGTAAACATGTTCCGCAAGTACGGTCTGAATATGAAAATTACGATAATCTAGAGGTGCTTAGAAATTTAAGGTACACACTCCTATTTTAATTGAATACTATAATTAAATTATGCTTGTTTAATAAACAATTATTTTATTTTATCAATTTGATCAACATTAAGCTTTACTAAGATTCCCACGAAATTTTAAATGCAATTTACTATTGAATTAATTTAGGTGACACCCTGAAGAATTGTACTCACAATTAGAAAATTATGAAAAAATCATTAAACAAATGTAATCATTAACAAAAACACACAAACAATGAATTTAACAAGATTTTATTGCAAAACAATTTGTAATACAAAATTTAAGATTTTCTTTTGTATTTCCGTTTTGTTGATCCACAAATTATGTAAGTTATAGATTTTCCACATAAGTATGTCGATACAAACATTTCCTTTGAAAACACTTTTTAGCTTAGGAACCTTCAACACGTTTCTGGTGGTCCTTTGTACAATAGACACTAGACAAAATTCGCCAAACTAAATCGCTCATGAGGAAGCTATGATAGGCATCCGAGATTAAGAATTGGTTCGATGTCGTCTTTGCTTATTTGAGAATATAAAGAATCTTAAATAATTAGTAAAAAAATATCTGGAAAATTGTAAGAAATGCTTGAAGTTTGTTCAACTTTGAATATCTAACTCATCCAACTACCCATCTCCCTATCTCTCTTTTTATCTATCTATTCATCTAACGGAGATCATTGACCTCCATTTTGACCTCCATGAAAATACGGAAAAATACCACTATAAGTCAAAATATTAAATCAATGAAAATGAGTCATGTAAGGTATCAAATCATAGGTTTTTGGGAGTTCCGATTCCATTCTGATACCCCATTTGACCTCAGATAATCCTGGAGGCATTTGACCGCCAGATATTAATGACCTACAGAGGTCAAAATATGAAATCAATGAAAATGAGTCTTTTGAGGTATCAAATTATAGGTTTTTTAGTGTTCTTATTCCATTTTTGTAACCCTTTTGGGCGTTATATACAAACGTAGTTAAGTTAATCACAATACAGGTTTGACGTACTTATTTACAGATGAAGCTAGGTTAGGTTAATTGCAATGCAAGATTTACGTTGTTACTGATAAGCGCATTTAGATTTACAGACAATGTTAAACGTAACTTATCAAGTTGTAAGTCTGGGATCTGCCCCGGTGTAATAAAAATTGTTAAATATTTAAGCTGCATGATTGTCAAGAAATAAGTAGATAAAACAATTGACATACTTTTGTCCCTTTTTTACAAAATAAAGCATGTAGTAAACGCCTACTCCATAACCATTTCTTAGACCAGTGTCTATCAATGTACAATACAGTCCATATCAATCTGAAGCTCGTAACTATCAATGCTAAATCAAAGGGGAACGATCCTGTTGGCTATCGGTGTCAATACGGACACTTGCAATCAATTGATCAATGGCAAAAATATCAGAATATCAAATGCCAAATGATCGAAAATCTTTAAATGATCAAAAAGATGTACGCTAAACAGTTGGGACAAGTATTTTTTTCAAAAATATCATACAATTTTACAACAAAGTTAATTTTAAAGTTTAAGGTATTCTTAAACATATTTTTATGATAAAACGTCTGTAAAATGCTCTCTTTTTTACACAATCTGTTTTTTCTTCTCTTTTTTCTTATCTTTTCTTTTCTTCTCTTCTCTACTCTTCTGTTCTCTTATCTCTGATCTTCTCTTCTATTATCTCTTATCGTCTCGTTTTCGTTTACTCTTTGTTGTTGACATTTAACCGGTTTTGAGATGAACAATGCAGTACGATACGTTGTTATGATTTTTCTCTGATTTGTTTACATTTCTAGCTTGTAGACCTAATTGAAACGTACTGCGTTTGTACTGTATAATTCGGCATTTGATCTTTTATTATTTTTGCAATCAATGTCTCAAACAGAACACGGTCTACACGGCTACAATCCCATGAACTATCCAGGCCACTAACACTGGGCGCAATCTCGTTTGCTATGTCAATCGGACAATAGCAATCTATTGATCAATGTCTTAAACAGGACACAATTCACATTGCTACAATCACGTGAGCTATCTAAGCCACTACCACTGGGCATGATCTTGTTTGCTATGTCAAGCGGACAAACGCAGTTTCAATGAATAATGGCTTTTGTGTAAAAGTTTACAAACGTAGATATTTAATAATGTACAACATACTTCAGGTTTACAGAATATTATGTTTACCCAATATTTATTATAAGCAAATATAGCAAATCTACTTTTTTGGTTTCCCATTGAATCATTCATCAATGATTGTTTGGAACTCTTATTAAAATTATGTAGCTTTTATTCGACTTTGAGCCTTTTACACTAATTTGTTGGTTACAAAAGAACTAAATAAGAATACATTGATCATTTAACAAACATAGAAAAGTTTCATTTATCAAGGGTGACAGTTTTAAAAGAGGAAGACACTGTGGACTAACCAGGGCGAGATGTGTTCGGTTTTTTAAACAATAATTTAAACTGGGTTTGGTCTTTATAATTAAACCATCTTTAAACTTTAATTCAATCGGAGTTTGGTCTTTATAATTAAACCATCTTAAAACTTTAGTTCAATCGGGGTTTGGTCTTTAATTGAACAATCTTTAAACTTTAATTCAAACTGGGTTTTGTCTTTATAGTTAAACCATCTTTAAACTTTAATTCAATTGGGGTTTGGTCTTTAATTCAAACATCTTAAAACTTTAATTCAATTGGGGTTTGGTCTTTAATTCAAACATCTTAAAACTTTAATTCAATCGGAGTTTGGTCTTTAATTCAAACATCTTAAAACTTTAATTCAATCGGGGTTTGGTCTTTAATTCAACCATCTTTAAACTTTAATTCAATCTGGGTTTGGCCTTTAATTCAACAATCTTTAAACTCTAATGAGATTTGATCCCACTATTCATTTTTATCTAAACTAATCCACTGATATTAAAATACAAAAGAGACATATCTCAAACTAATCCACTGATATTAAAATACAAAAGAGAAATAGCAAACAATTGCGTTGGATAGGTCAAATTGGGATCGAAAGTCTCAGATTACTGGGACAAGATTTGAACCTGTTAAATCAGCATTACACACAGATGAATGCACTGAGGGTAAGAAAAGTACATGCGATCAAAACAAAATTATTTTTATACTTCAGGGTTTTTGTTCCAAATTGGTTATTACACCTTAACACAATACATAATTGGTATGCCTTTTTGACGTTGTAACTCCTCAAGTTTTGATCTTACGCGCAAATATGAGAAAAATAAACTTATTTGGTTACATAAAGCAATTCAAAACATCATTGATCTTCTGGATAGGTCTTTAATTAGAGAAGTTATGATTGAAAACGTGTAAAATTTCAAGCTGTAAACATGAACCTTGCTTTAATTCGTCATGCCTTTGTATATATTGTTTTTATTATCAAGAGAATTAGAAAAAATTAAACTTTTAACATTAAAATTTTGTTTATCATGACTTTAACATTTCTAAAACATTCATTACATCTGGACATTTATTCTAGTTTATGTTATTTTAGTAATTTAAAATGGTGACGTAGCAAAACTTAGAAAAAAGAAAAAAACTTAAACTCAACTGCAAAAAGTTTATCTTAAATTTTTTTAAAAATAATTAAATAAAATAAAAACCAGTCGACTTATTGGGATTTTCACACTCAGTTATAGTTTTAGCCACAAACTCTGATTTTCTATACCCTGAATCTTGGCAACCCAATGTCGTAGACCTTTGATATTTCAAACAATTAATTATGTTAGACCAACAAATCTCAGTTTGAAATATCAAAGGTCTACCCCAACAGGTTGCAAAGATAAAGGTATTAGAAAATTTGAGTTGGTGGAAAAACTCAGTTTCTTTGAACAAAAATTCATGATTCCAGGATTTTTAGTTTTTTTTAGTTTCATCTACATCTATCTATATATAAATTTGGCTTTTCTGTCTGTTTTTTTGTCTGTCTGTTTGTTTGTATCCAATAAACGTCAAAACGGCTGAACCGATCGGGCCCAAATTTTTTGTGGGACCTCATGTGGCCTTGGGTAAGGTTTATGAATGATCAAAATTTTAAAAATTTGTGTTTAAAAGTTTTTTATTTCTGAAAAATTTTGAAAATGCGCAAAAAAATATTATGAAATCCGCAAACTTTTTTGTTTTGTTTTATACTGTACAAAGAGAAGATGCTCACAGATAAAGCCAAAATTAAAAGTTGAAATAGAAGATGGCCTAGCAAATATATATATATATATACTTTACTTGACTGTTTCTCTCTGTTTGTTTATTTCCAATAAACCTCACGTGACCCCAGTGAAGGTTTATGAATGATAGAATTTTAAAAAATTTGTTTCCAACAAAATTCGATTTTTGAAAATTTAAA